CACCACCACCACCACCAACTCCACCTTCATCACCACCACCACCTCCACTCCATCACCACCACTATCACCACATGATCAATACATAACACTTTCAATATTATGTCTATTTTAGTCATTATTCACAGTTACAATAATTTTATATTAAAATTTACCAAATATTTTTTTACATTGGATTTTGTACTAACAACACTTTAAAAATTTTGTTTACCAAACATGAAGCTGCTTTACTTTACAACTAATTATTTTCAAAACACAGCAGAAGCAACTTTTTTTAAAAGTGGCAACAATCCCAAATTGGGCCTCAATCCAGCATCACTACTATCGCCGTCATTAAGACAGAGACAACACCAGCCACCTAGACCACTACAAAAACAACCAAATAAAACAAACACATAAACATGCCTATATCCAAATAGATCAAGGTTAAAAACTCAAGATCCCAGTAGATCTGGGGTGGATAGGAGGAATGTGAGAGAAGGGCCAGCAAGAGCCCCCAAGAAAGTGGAAAGAGGGGGAGGGAAAAAAATGGGAGAAGATGAGAGGAAAGGATTGGATGGAGGGGGGGGGGGAGGAGGGGGAGGAGGGGCAATGGCCACCTCACCCACGCATAGATAGAAAAAGTTGGTTGTCGACAAGGAAAAAGAGGGAGGGTTTCGACTAGGGTTTTTGGGCAAGGAGAAAGAGTTTCCTTGTCAACAACATTACTATCAAGTTAATCTTTTTTTTGTTGTTAAAATTTTTTTTATTTTTGCAATCTAGTATTTGACTACATAGACATCATATTAATTACGTGAATTAACAGTTGTTTTATGAACAACAAATAAGATTTTCTTTTAAAAAACACTCAACTTTCTGAATATAGAACGATTTAAACTTGACATATGTCTGCATAATTAAAATATAGGTTCATCAAGTTCCACATTTTAAAAAATAGCAATAAGCTTGATAGCTAGACAAAATGTTACAAACTTAACCCACTTGAGGCCTTCTCCAACCATGGGGGCTTCCTAAAAAATCCCAAAATTTTGCCAAATTTCATCCCCAACGCATGTATAGGGAGGGGAGGAATTTTGGGTATACTGGTTTTTAGGGGGGGTATTTGGCCCAGCTTTCCGGTCCGGGCAAAAATTTTGTGGCCCCAAATTGAAAGCAACTTGCAACACGTGAAGGAAAGCATGAGAAATTGAACGTGAATTAACAGTTATTTTATGAACAACAAATAAGATTTTCTTTAAAGAACACTCAACTTTCTGAATATAGAACGATTTAAACTTGACAAATGTCTACATAATTAAAATATAAGTTCATCAACTTCCACATTAAAAAAAAAAAATAGCAATGAGCTTGATAGCTAGACAAAATGTTACAAACTTAACCCACTTGAGGCCTTCTCTAACCATGGGGGCTCAACCTAAAAAATCTCAAATTTTGGCCCAATTTCATCCCCAACACATGTATAAGGAGGGGAGGAATTTTGGGCAACTGGTTTTTGGAGGGGGGGGAGGGGGGGTATTTGGCCCAGCTTTCCGGTCCAGGAATAAATTTTGTGGGGGTGTGGTATTTGGCCCAGCTTTCCGGTCCAGGAATAAATTTTGTGGGCCCTAAATTGAAGGCAACTTGCAGCACTTGAAGGAAAGCAAAAGAAACTGAACGTGAATTAACAGTTGTTTTATGAACAACAAATAAGATTTTCTTTAAAGAATATTCAACTTTCTAAATATAGAATAATTTAAACTTGACATATGTCTACATAATTAAAATATAAGTTCATCAAGTTCCGCATTTAAAAAAATAACAATAAACTTGATAACTAGACAAAATGTTACAAACTTAACCCACTTCAGGCCTTCTCCAACCATGGGGGGGTAATTGGCCTAGCATTCTGATCCGGGCATAAATTTTGTAGGCTCCAAATTGAAGGCAACTTGCAACGCATGAAGGAAAGCAAGAAACTGAGGAGGTGGGCCAGCAATGTGACTACTTGAAGGGAAAGTTATTAACGCGTGGCGCAAGATGGGCTTGCAGTCGTTGCCATCTAATGGCTGCAATTCAAACAGCCAACTTGATTTTTTATTTATTTCAAATGTAATGGCTAGTTTAAACCAATGGCTATGATTAAAAAGTGACTTGATCAACAAAAAAACAAATGATCCAACGGCTAAAATTAAAATCCAACATCTAAAATAAATAAATAAAATATTCTAAATCAGATCTAACCCTAAAACACATCCCAAACTCTATAAATCCTTATTAAAGTCTATGAAATAAAATGTTGTTGTATTTGTTTTTTTTAAGTGAAATTATATTATATTTTGGATTTTGGATTTGTTTTAGGTTAAAATCTTCATAAAATTAATTCACGAAGATTGAAACAAAAATAATGTCGAGAAAAAAAAAATAGGGGTCAACTTTTTTACAAATTTATAAATAAACCAAATCCTAAACATCTATTTATAAAAAAACCCAAATACTATTTAAACATATAAACACACCCAAAATCAACAATTGTATATATTTTTGAATGTGTTTATAAATGAGTTTTAAATGTGTATAATGATGAATTTTGAGTGTGTTTATAAAATGTTTTAGGTGTTAGATTTTTTTTTTAATTTCAACCCCCATTTTGGGTGTTTTAGTGAAACTCCTTTACTTTTTTTAAACAATTTAATAAAATTGCAGACTCAAATTATGAGTCTGCATGATTGGAAAAAAAAACTGTTTGAATTTAGGCAATACATGAATAGTTATGTTTTAAAGGGGAGAAATTTGAGTTTAGCCTCATTTGAGTTGGAGATTGCCTGAGCAGAAAATGTAATTAGCCCAAAAATTAATGGTTTCAAATTTAATTTGGTAAAAATCCTCTAGTGGCAAGCTAAATTAAAGCCATGAAAAGCTCGTTACAATACACAAAATGTTGCTAAACAAGTAAATGAATATTAGGACTTTGGTAAAACAACAAAAAAAATAACAGTGGTCATAATCAGGCTTAAAATTTGAGCGGATTCCGAGGATTGGGTTAGGACCCAGTCAACAGGGCCTTGTTTTGGATTCTTTTATAACGACATATGCGTTAGTTTAAGATGACAAGTCCCAATTGAAAACAAGATCACAACTTGATCCAATCAAGTTCACAAAATCAATGTAGCAAAAAACATTAACCATTCAATTTCAAATCCAAGAGCAACACGAGCAACTTACAATTACAAAACCGAAAGAGAAAGAAAGAAAAAAGTTTTAATTTACTGTTTCCTTGCATTATTATCTGGTGGTACGAAATCTGCAGCAGCAGCAGCAGCTGCTTGCCTCTTCTTCCTTCTCCTCAACCTCTCGCACACCAGAGCTCTCTCTAGCTGCTCCACCCTCTGCGACAGCGAGCTCAGCATCCGAGTTTGCATCTCATTCCTCTCGAAAAGCTCCACCATCATACGCATCATCTTCTCATTGTCCTCCACCATCCTTTCCAGAAGCTCTCTGCTTCTCTTGTTCTCCTCTCTGTCTCTAACCCCAAATCCAATGCCATTGCCTCCCTCATCTTCAGCTTTCACAATCTCCATACCATCATCATGCTCCTCCTCTTGCTTCACCAACGGATTTTCCTCAACATAATCTATCATCGAATTCTGTGGATTATATGACGACACAGACTGGCTCTCACTTTCACCTTCTTCTTCACTTTCATCTGCAACAATTTCTCTAATCTCGTTCACATTTGTTACTCCATCTGTCTCAGCAGTTTGTTCCAAACATGGCAAATTCAGAGTTCCATTCAGAGACTTGGGGGCTGCATTTGAATTGCAATCTTCTTCACGAGCTACAGATTGCAAGTCTTGGGTTTGATCCACTGGGGCCGTTTTACCACCTTCAAAATCCTCCCCTGAATCTTTATCCTCCATGGCTCCTCCAACTGTTTCAGAAAGTGATTCCCCATTATCAACCCCTGATGCTTCCCCAACCTCACCCAGAGTATGATCATCATCAGCAATCGCAGCGTCCACTCTCTCCTGCAAAGCAATCGCCTTCTTGATCACGGTCCTCCTGAAATCCCTAACTCCAGAGTCGACGCCCTTCACCGAATCCAACCTGAACAGCAAGCTCATCAGCGTCTCGTTCACCTTCAACCGCTCCTTGGCCTCCCTTTTCATCAATTCCACCGTCTCTTTCTTCGAAAGCCGCTTCTCGATCTCGTCGACGTCGCCTTTGATCGCCGCGATCTTCTTCAAGCTTTTCCTCACCAGGAACCCTCTGAACGCCTTCTGGATCTTCAGTGCCGAGGCCGACCGGTTGCGCTCCAACCCGACAAATTGGACCGGGATCGAGACCACCTTCGGCGACGGCGTCGGTTGGCGCTGGACCGGGACCTGGCGAAAGCTCGGGGAGTAGCGATGGTGTGGCGCGAAACTATTCAAGTGTCTTTTGAAGTACGAATTATCCATGGGGTAGACAAGAATCTTCAAATCTTGAATCGAATTACAACGACGACTTTGAGTGTAGAAGAAGATAGTTTTCTAAGGAAACTTTCTAATTTGACGATGAGGAAGGAAGTGGGTTTCGGGTATTTATGGAGAAAGGAGGAATTTGATCGGCGTCCAGGAGGGGCGGGAAAGTTCCAGAAGGTTCAAGTAAGATGCTAGAGAGTGGGCTTTGGAGAATGTAAGTTCTAGCTTTCTTTCGATTCTTCTTATTTGCCGCGTGAAATTTGGACTTTATGTGATCACGTGCTTCCTATATATATCCTGCCACGTAGAAGCTCTTACCAAAGGGGATTAATTTTCTTCTTCTTTCACCCAAAAGAAAAAAAATAGGAAATTTGTTTTCCATGTAAAGGCTGGAAAACTCTTCCGTTCTCCTTCTATACAAATCCAAAATACTTATGTGGTAATTTTCTGACCCAAGGGGGAAAAAAAAAAAATTGGAAATTTTAAGACAAGAAACCCAACTGCTAACTTAACCAAAATCTCTCTAAATTTTGATATCTTAAAATATATTTACACACATAATTCTTTGGATCAGAAAATAATTAATACAAACTAGAGGAATAATGTTGAACTTGATCAAGTGACATTTTCACATCATGGGTTGTTAACTTAGGTCTGTGTGGGTTTTGATAGAATATAACATCAAATATCAAAATCATGCAACAGTTGGTTTTGAGGAAGAACAGCAATTAGAACACTGTTTCTACAGTTCTAGCATTATAGAAAATTCATTCTGCTTGGTATTTTGATGCCTGCCCGTTTTAAAAGTTCTGCCGAAGCATGCTTCGCCTTTGAAAGAACTTCTTCCTGTTCAGTTACAAGAGTGAGAGATGAGATGCTGTAGTTTATATAGTCGGTTGCAGAAAATCCAGTTGCATCGTAACATATGGATCACTAGCATACTATTTCATAAGCCAAACTAGCAAAAGATAGCTAACTTTATTGTCTAGCACATTCACTAACTGATATTTACAGTTAATTTTGTGTGGAAATTGGGCTTGGCTATCCACAATCGATCTTTATTCAACCTTGATCGTTTAATATGAGAAAAGTATGACAGAATACCTCATCCACATTCAGAATCTTCTTGTCCTTCATAATCCACTCACCATTGCACATTACAGACACTACATTTTCAGTTCGCATACAGTACACGAGGCTGGAAATGCTGCATATGTAGTATGGCAAAACATTAATCTACCTGAATAGGTATGTTGCAGGAAAAAAAATGGAGCTAAATTTTATGAATTTATCGCTTATTAAATTGGAACCATATCCACTGAAAACCCAAACAACGACTTAGAAAAGCGTACTGTTGGCCACTCATTAGTCCATAAATCTTGAACTATCCCATTGATCATGAGTCATGATAATGGAAACTGTCAAAAAGTCTGTATAAGAATATTAGACACATGCATAATCCACAACATACTAGGATACAAATTGTAAGAAGCCAGTTAGAAGATCTTTCTTCGTATATGAATTTTAAGAATCACTCCTTTGAGGAAGGTTGTTACCTGTCATGGAGAGGAACCATGGTCCAAGAGGAAGGATTGATAACAACCAAGTCAGCCTGCCATATCATGGAATAAGGAAGCTAATCAGCCTTTTAAACAATATTAATTTGTTGGGAACTTGGGATATAACGAATGCATACGTTGTGACTTAATTAAAAGAGAAAGTTGTATGAGAGATGAAGAAAGACACGAGAAACTAAACAGAGCCAAAAGTCCAACCTTTTTCCCAACCTCAAGGGATCCAATTTCATCATCCCAGAGTACTGATTTTGCACCATTTATAGTCGCCAGCTTTCAGTTGTCCCATTTGTATGAACTTCCCGTCCTTTGTTAATCAAAGAAGCCAGGTACATCTCATCAACTGCAAGGAAGAAAATTCATGCATGAAATTCCAGGTCCAAACATTAAATTTTCCAACGTTCAAATCCATAAATAAGGAAGATGTGCAAGAATAATCTGGAAATCAACCTATGCTCATTCTATTATTTGAGGGCGCCCCATCTGTTCCCAAAGAGACACAGATGCCAGCATCGAGCATCTCTCTAACAGGTGCAAATCCAAGCATTCGCATTGCAGCAGCGGGGCAGTGAGATACTTTGACCCTACCCCTTGAAAGACAATCAATCTAAACATACAGAATAAGAGTCACATACCAATTTACAATATAAGAACAAGATTTTAACCAAAATAATAGCATAAATAACACTTCACAGGCTTGAAAACTCATAATGTCTTACTGTTAGACAAACACAAGCCTCATCCTACTCATATTTTGTGTATAAGACAGTATAAACAAGAAAAACCATTTGATGAGTTCTACCAAATTTGCATTAGTTCGACACAGGAATAGAAACAGCAACTCACCTCAGCAGGGTTAACCCAAACTGTATGAGCCGCTAACAAATTGTCCTGAAGAAACTGTATCTTCTCTAAGTGCGTGACTGTTCCATGGTCAACTTTTCTCGTCTCTGTCACAAATTGATTCTCATATGCTATCTCTGCAACATGCTAAGCATTGGAAACATGAGTTTAGTGAATGTTAAATTTCAACATCAACCATAATGTATCCTAGAATGTACAGAGATAAATGAGCAGTACCATGTGAATGCCAGTTTTCAGTTCTTTGGCAGTATCTCTTGTTGCAAGTAGTAATCCATCAGTTGCATTCATAATTTGCCTAATTCCTAACCACACTCTGATGCGCCCATCTCCCGTATTATGGTGCTTCTTGTAAAGCTCTTTTTGAGACTGTGCCGAGTGATTGAGTGAGTGAGCTATTCTTGTAAAGTGTTTAAACAGTGAGTGAGTGAGTGAGGACACTAATTTCAGCTAAACACAACCAACCAAAACCGAGTAACTTAGAACACAAGTTATGTCATTAGTCAAGAAGTATATGCTCAAACCTGGATACAATCATCGGTGCTCCGACCGGCCCAAGAAGCGGGCAAGCCATCACCCGCGTCCATGATGGATTCAGCCAAACATGCCCTTAAGCCCAGTAACTCCACTGCCCTTGCCATTCCTGACGCATGTTGCCCTCCTGCTTCAGCAAAGCAAGTAACCTAAATTCAAACAAGGAAAACCAATCACAGGCCTTCAAATTCAGCATTTGTAGCTCACTAGTTTTTGGCAAATCAAAAACAAAAAACAAAAAAAATTAAAAAACCTAATCGAAAAGAGAAAGCTTACACCAGAGTGAATGAGCTCAATGCCACAAAGCAGAGTGGAAATATATGAATCTTCCTCGCTCATATTGGACTCGTACGGCCAAATCCGATGGTGCAACCAAGTCATCAAATCCACATCATCGGCTATCCCTCTTCCCAGCTGCTGAGATGTGTGGACGTGCGTGTTGATCAATCCTATTTTAAACATTTTCAATTATTTCAGTATTTTGAAAATTCAATAAAATAAAATAAATAAAAATGGAAATTATGAACCAGTGGGAGGGAGGACCAGGGAGGACGATTTGGCCGTTGAGATCTAAAATCTGATGGGCGAGAGAAGAGAACTGGTGAAGAATATTGGAAGATTGACCGACGGCTACGATTGCGTCTCGCTCGATGACGACCCCACCGTTGCGGAAGACTCGGGCGTCGGGGTCCATGGTGACGATGGTGGCATTGTGAAGTATAGTTACTGCAACTGATTTGGTCCGCTGCGCCTCCATCGCTTTCTCAATCTTATCCGCTCTCCTTATACTTGTGGATTTCTTACGGCGCTTTGCGAATTGAAGTTGAAGGCTTCGTCTATGAAGTCTGCGATTTTGTTGCAAATGTCAAAGTAGACTTCAATTGAAAGGGAAGGATCACCTTCGCGGGCTCCATATTTTTAATACAAATTTATAAATAAACCAAATCCTAGACATGTATTTATAAAAAAAACTCAAGCACTACCTCAAAATCAACTTTTTGGGTGTGTTTATAAATAGGTTTTGAGTGTGTGTAATGATGGGTTTTGGGTGTGTTTATATGTTTAAATAGTGCTTGGGTTTTTTTATAATTTCAACCCCCATTTTGAGTGCTTTAGTGAAACTCCCTATTTTTAATTCGTTTAATCTCATCTGTACAGGAAAATTTGCACCTTTTTCTTCTCAATTGCTAACAGCCGAAAGGGATTTTATATTATTAATATTAAACAAATGCCAATATTAGCTCTTTCAATTTCATATATTTTTTGTGTAAATAATTTTCATAATGACTTGAATGTTTGCTGCTGGTTGCCCTGGTTTTGGTTTGTTGCTGTTACTGTTTGGTAAGGCTTGGCTGCTGGTTTGCTGCCCTTTCCCGGTAGCTTTCGCTCTTTTTTTGTTGGGCTGCTCGTCTATTTGGGCCACTTTCTCTCGTTGGGCTCTCAACCCTCTCTGTTGTTAACCGTCATCTTTTTTGTTTTCCCCTTTTTTTTATCGGAAAAGATGTTTTATTCAAAACCAAAGAAAGTATGGCGTCTTTGGTCTCGGCTGAATCACTTGCTCCGTCCATATTTTTTTATCTTCATCACTCAATAATTTATCCATAATCTATCTTCTAAGAATAATATTTGTCAATTATATTTACAACTAGCCTCTCTACCTACCCTTATACGTGTGTCAATATGCCTTGTGTATATATATATATATATATGTATATATTTGCTTTTGGCAGCAGCAGGAGGACAGGGAGTTGTTCGAAGTTGGAAAAACAAACTAACCATCACAAACAAAACTGTAGGGATCGTTTGGACAAACTATAGAGTGAGTAAATTAAAAATGTTGTTTTGAACCACAAAAAAACAAAAAACAAAAGCATTATTGTTACTAAAGAAATTGGTTTACCAACTCCACCAGGACAGAACCAAGTATTCTGGCACAACCAAACAAAATGAGAAGAAGAATAAAAAGAAGAATAAATAAAGAAAAGTCTAATGTCAACTTTGATGAATGGCATGCGTGGTGGTGACGTAATGAATATGGGATTGTAGTAGTATACACGTATTATCAATGGTGTGTGAACTGTGAAGTGGGTTCATTAGCTAGCTATTATTGCTGATTAAGAATTAAGACAAACTTTTCTCCAACTTAATTAAAATTAAACACCAATATTCAACGAGATTGTTAATTAAAACCCTTCCAATTTGCTGAGTTCATACCCAACAAGTTATATATAACCAATTACCAACTGTAAATAAACAAACACATACGATTAGACAAACTGTAAATGATATTCCCATTTCTTCCATCCTCTTTCTCACGCATTCATCACACCAATCACGTACAAAAACTAATAATTAAATGAAAGTAAGAAAGAAGAAAAACTAGTGGCGTAACTATATTGATTAAAGAAGAGGAACGACATGCAATCAACTAATATTATATTTTAGGTGATTGAAATATCAATCACGTCATTTATTTATATTATAATACGTGAATCAATAATACTACGTGACCACGTGTCTATTACACTAAACAAATTCTCCTCTTGAACATAACAAGTGGCGGCTGATCCCACCGCCAACCCCCAAAGTTTCTCTCCGACCCACACCAGAACTTCATTTACCTGGTTCCTTCATAAACTGCTGAGCTTAGCAAAAGAAAGATAATAAAATATAACTATCAGCCAGGCCGCCTATGTATTACTATTACCGACCTTAAGGTGGCTAATCAAATTACAAAAACAGTCTGTGTCTTGATAATATTAAGTTGTAATGAATCATTTGGACTGTAGCGAGGGGTCAATTAACGTAGGGTTCAGCCCTCTTCATATCCCAGGTATAGCTTGGTCCCTAAAATATTCGTGATCTTATCTTTCCCCTTTTCATCAAATCATATCATACAAGAAGATGACATAATTACTTTCAGCATCTATTAGCCCCTTTTTTCCAAGTTGCTACCGACTTCCTCCTAATCTCTATTATTTGTAACATTATCAAGAAACCTATATCTAGCTATTATATATATAGTCTCCTCAATTTCTTAATTACCCCTAATTTGCATATGATAATTATTTATGCTTCATATTGCAAGCAGCATGATGATTGAGATGGAATCTAAAAGCTCAAAATACAAAAACAAAAATTTATACCAACCGCTATGTTACAACAAGGTTCTTGACAGACTGAAGAAAACTTAAATCCCACAAAATTTATTATTTCAAACGCAAATACATACAACCCAAGCAAGCTACACCAAGTCTTTGTAAATTAATACACATTATAATCAGAACTGATTTATAGCAACCATCCGAGACGGGCTAAGAAGATGGTAAGAGCCATAACGCTTTGCCAAGCCACACCCTTGAGGAACCTTCGGGTTACCACAATCGTCCATTTCCATCAGCACCTTGTAGAACACTTCAACGTTACAAGGCAGCACAAGAGGACCTTGGCTGTCGTACCCGAATTCCGACTCAGCTTCTTCAAGTAGCATCTTGAAGAGAGGATGGTTTGCATATTCAGTTTTCACCACGAACCTTTGCTTTTGGGGTCCCACGTAGACGGAGAAGCAGCCCTCGGGAGCCACTTGGCGCCTGCTGGTGCGCTTCTCTTCCCTTTCGGGGACCCCGAGGTTGATATGTGGGCAGGACCTGCTCTTGATTGTCAGAGCAGGCACCATAGTAGTAGCAGTAGTAGTAGTCATGTTGCGGCCACGGCCTATTGATTTGCATCGCTCCCAGGTTTTGACTATCAAGCCCTTCTTACCCTTTTCCTTCATCATATCCAAAGATGACTGGAAATTACAATGAATACAGAAAGAGAAGATATATATGGAATATGGATGTTGGGTTTAAAAACCACACACAACACCACCCTCTTCCATGAATTTAATTGCAAGGAGAAATCTGATTCTACTACTTAATTGTATTATGAACAAAATAATAAAGGGCACACAAAAAAGTTGTGAACGGGTCGGATCCAGTTTAACCCCGGTCGTAGACCAAATAAACCATGACCTTCACTCTTGGGATCATTGTGTTACTCATACTTTCTCAATGAACAAAAACAAATGGATCATGCAAAAGAGGGACTGCCTAGCCCCCAAAATAAGGAAAAATATGGATGAAGCCCGCCCCAAAAGAATCACAAGGATTTGATCAGGTTGTATTGGTGGTTAAGGTGGGCATTAGAAAGAGGTAGTGTATTGAAGAATGCCAAAAGGGTAGGGAAATTAAAGGGAGGATATAAAGGGGAAGAGGAAGGAAGCAGAGAAAAGCTTCACGAGATAAGCTTTGCGTCTTTGATGGGGCAATCTCAGCATGGAGAGGCGGCATATAAAGCCCACATGTATCATAGTTTATTCTTAAATATTCCCCCTTGTCAACGCCACACAGGGCCTATTTTTCTCTATGTTAAATAATTCTTTAATTTTGTTCGATGTAATGACATTAATACAGAGAACATTAGTTTAAGGAGACTTTTGTAGCATCTACTCCGCATTGTATTTTATTAATTCGAACCATTTATTTTATAGATATTCATTCAAATATTATCTCTGCAAAAAATTACTTGAATCCGAAATTATTTGACCAATTAATTAGAAAAAATAGACGGTTTGGATTGTTGAAAAAAAAATAATCCAGGAGACCTTATATAAAATGATATTAAAATAATTTGACATGTGTAAAAACAACATTGGTTGTAAGGAGGAACCAAGCTTTTTCCTAAAAGTATTTAGGAATCCCTCAATAGAAGGGGACTGAACATCAATATATCCGAAATATATAAAATGAGTAATTTATAAAAAATAAATTACATTATTGAGTGGTACTATACGAACACATCAGGGGTGAACAAGTTGCAGTTTACACCATTACCAGCAGTAAGAATTTATTTAATTGTCGACTTTTCTATTTTCATAATTGTAATTGAATTGACCTATTCAGTGTTCGTATATGGCAGAAGGCCATTCGCTTGGTACATGAATTAATACACTACTCATTATGGATTTGTTGACAGTTATTAGCATTTTAGTTAGTGCAGATATATACGAGGGCTGATCGGATCAGAAAAACCTCTATTATTCGATGAACCTAACCCGGTTCTATATGTCACGTGAAAAATAAGTACACAAAACAAGCCCACACTACAGGCCACCAACTGATCAAGTGGCCAATAAAGAGTACGTACCTTGGCTTTCACGCGTATTTGCCTTTTTCTTTTTATATATATTCTTGTAAATTTTATTTCAACATAATAAGGCTCATACGCGTGTCAGTTGATTTTTAAAATTTTTTTTGTTTTATTTTAGAATATAAAAAGATAATGGGTAGTTGTGTTTTATAAAAATAGGATTCATTATTTGATTTTATTTTTTATTTTAATTATTTTTTAATTCTTAATGTTTGTATTAACAAAGGAT